GCATAAGTGAGTTTCAAGGAAGGTCAGACCTCTGCTATATCATATTCTTTGGTGGGAGTGCCGATGAAGCTCTTATTTCAAGCTCCCATCCTGCCCTGTCGCGGTTCGACTCCCGCTGAGGGTGTTGATAAGACCGATGCGAGGTCGAAACTGCAGTTCACCCTAAATGAGAACAACTTTTGGGAAAGCAAGGCTATGGGAAATTCGATGGAAACGTCAACTCAACTCATATCATTGTGGGAAAATTCTACTACCAGTCCTTCATCATCTTAGACGAAATAGGGTGAATACATTTCATTACACTGATTTACTGGTAGTCTCGAAACCCTACACTCACACGAGTTTTTTTTAGTTTTATTTCTTACTTACGAATAGTCATACTTAGGGTAGGGCGTCATGGAAAAATTGTAATTGAAAAAGGGCGCCGCGACTAGGAAAAGTTTGAGAACCACTAGTCAGCGGGATTGCCTTCATTTGCCACTGATAGGTTGTAACTGTGATTACGATGGCGCCTCTTACTGACGGTGCTGAAGAAACGTTTGATAATGTACCAAGTCAATGGTCCGATGATGGAGATCACGAATACTTTGGCAGAGGACACAGGACTAAGTACGTTCCACAAGGCCCCCCTGAAGCTCTGACCAAGTTGCAAAAGCGAGGTCGAACCAACCCTATAAAGCTAAAGGAGACTATGATCAATCAGATAGCCACACCATATTGGTCTTTATATCCACGATAAAATATTTAGATTTTGCTAGATAGCTAAGTGGATATGGAATGATTAAGTAGTTCGTTCAAATTTTAAATAGGCAACTTCTAGTTGGACGTGTTTCTGTACGTGTGCATGTTTGCCTATGTACACGTGTAAGTCAGGGAACGGAATACAGGCTGAATCTCAGACTACTTACCAAAGAGCTTAGCGTCATGTCAGGTTCGTCAATGTTTAATATCTCAAGGAACAGCTAAGCCTTGATTGTATAATATCTAAATTAACCCAGATTGAGGTGGTGGAAAATAAAACCGTGAATAGATTGCTTAATATTGTATATCTGGTCAGGTTGATGAGTTTAATAGACCTGTTTAACTAATGTTAATATGGTTTGAAGCATCACTGAGCTGACGAGGGATCAGCTCATTTTCATTCGAAACGAACGAGTGTGTCTCTCTTGGACTGTGTCAACCTGAAGGTCATATTAAAGCCAAACGGTGATCATCTTCGTATTCTGGTGGGATCAACTTACTAATCTTTTCCTTTTGCATCTTTATATCAATTGAAAGTCCCCTCATCAATGATTGGTCGAAAATCGGGTGAGTCAGAATGAGGCGATATGAGTTTTCGATTTGAGCAGCGTGTTACCGTTGCAATATATATGTACAAAGATAGATCACTATAAATGCATTATCATCGAATAAGGAAACCATCCTTTCGGAAGTTGGCTTCTTTTTGGACCTTATTTTTAGCATACATAGAATCAAAGTGCTTGGTGAAGAGATTCGAAGGTCGATCTCACTATAAGACGACGGCAAGTTCCGCTTGACCAGCTGTCGATTGGCTTTACTGGAACATCCTTGTTAACGCTGATTCTGAGGTAATCTCCTTCGATTCCGGTGAAAACGTGCTAAGCCTTCGTTCGTCGTATGATTGGAATGAACGCAGCTTATCCGAAATCCTCCTTTATTTCAGTCATGATAATTTCCTGCTTCGAACCATGGACTTGGTACATATCCTATACGGTGTCATTATTGAGTCCTACCATTTTTAGCAGCACCCTAAAACTCGTCAAAGAGACAAGTGAAATCCATCTCTTGACCAACTTTCTACCGAACGATTGTGGTATCACTCCTCTTTTGGTCCTGGTACATCTACCCACCTCTTGCCCTTGTATCTCACTCCCTCTCTATCATGGATATCTAAGTTTTTTATGTTTGTATATTCCTGAGGGATGCCCTTTTAAGTGGGTTTAATAAAGCATTTATGATAACTATCATTAGTTTACATTGCTTCTCTTGATTGGTCAAAAGACGGACTTCCATTGTCTCTTAGTCGAGTTAAGGCTGGTGCAGAGAATGGTGGGTCTCACTGTCGAAATTGACTACAATGCCGGTAAGACGTCTCGGAATGTACCAAGTCCACGAGTTGGCGCTGGAAATCGTCATGTTTGGTATGACAAAGGACTTAGGACAAGGTACGCTCATCTAGTTTGCCCTGACAACGCATTAAAGTTGCGAAAATGAAGTAAACTAGCTTCTACTAAGTCGGTTCACTCTTTTTGTTTTTCTCTCTTAATAGCGGTAAATCTCCGACCCCGTTCTGCTGGCAGTCCCAAAGCTTTCGACAATCCGCCCTCCGGACAAGACGGCACATAATCTCCTCAGCAGAGTCTCACCTCCACACCATTGCCGCTTTGGCTCGATTCGACCAGGTAACTGATCATGCGTCGATTCGGGCAAATCTGACGAAGCAACAACCACATGAGGTGTTGGACGTCAAATGCACACCAGATGGATACAGTTATGGCTTTTGCAACTTGGTTGAACACGTGACTCCGCTACCGCCTGAAAATGTCTACTTTGTCTTGCAGTCTTCATCCGGAGATTTCGGTGAACATGGCAAGTCTTTCATCCTCTTACATTGCCAGATATTTGCTCAGATGCATGCATATACTTCTTGACACTTATATACTCATATGGAATTACATAAATAAATAAATAAATAAATAAATAAATAAGTAAATAAATAAATAAATAAATAAATAAATAAATAAAT